AGGAATCGCGCCTGCTCCTCCAATACCGATTAATGCTATTTTTGAAGTAGACAGATGCCATTAATCGAACATCCACTTGAGACACTAAGTCCTTAGCAGTAATCACTTCCTACATACAAATTGGCAACAAAACATCACCATTTCCACAAGCTTATCATTCAATGTACGTACTTCAGAAACCCTAAACAACAAAATCGAATGCAAAAAAAAAAATGTTTACCATGAGACAAGAACAGAAACCAGGGCGGTTCTCTGATTGAGCTAGGGCAGTTTCAGCTGGTTTACGCACGTTTTGTTCGCTACTGAGTGAATTTGTCAGCAACGAATACATCGCCGGTAAGTCGGAGGCTGACAGAGCCATGGCGTTAAGGAGTTGAAGGTTCGGTTGAGTTCCGGCGTTGAGTTGATACTGAGTCAAATCGTAGAATTGGAAAATGCGAAGACTTTGGGGATTCTGCGAAGGGTTTTGTATGGAAATGGCAATGGAGTAGCGATCTGATAGGAACAAAAATGGAATGAATGAAGGAGAATAGAAAAATGTTGTAGTTCTACCCTCAGCAAAGGGCCTGCTCACGTTTTGAAGAGTATATATCCATGTACTTATAATTTGCCAATGCGATTATAAATGCATTTCTTATAATCGGACTTCTAAATGCGATTAATAAGTTCCATTTTGAAAACGGCATATAAAATGCAGTGTTGAATGCGAAAATCTTTTTACTATGTGCTTTCACCTAAATTGTATCCTATGCATGCGTGTTGCATATATTTTTATATTTTTAAATATAACATAACATTAAAATTATTGAGCCAAAAAATGCTCATTTTGAAAGAAAAAAAATCTAGAAGTTCTTTATTATTTTCTTATCGGTAATCGTTAAGTATTATTATCGGTTTAACTTTTTTTTCTGAAAATATGATAGTAGAGGTGGAGTACAATAATTTCATTATATAAAAACAAAGATGCTATACAAAATTACAACGTCTATATGGGTATCAAGCTACTAAGTCACACTATAAAAGTTTGGGAGAGGGTGGTGGAAGTGAGGAAGAGGAGTAGTGTGTCTATGAGAACCATTTCGGATTCATCTCGGGGTGCTCACTACTGAAGCCATTCACCTTGTTAGGAGATTGGTGGAGCAGTATAGGGAGGGGGAAGAGGGACTTGAATATGGTGTTCATTGACCTAGAAAACACATACGATAAAGCCTATAGGGAGGTCCTTTGAAGATGCTTAGAAGCTAGAGATGTGCATGTAGCATACACTAGGGTGATTATGGATATGTATAATAGAGCCAAGACCCGATTAAAAATTATAGGAGGAGCTCATAAACTTTTCAGTCATGATGGGTTGGACCATGGATCAGGTCCTAGTCCATTTTTATTTGACTTGGCGATGAATGTACTGACGCAATTCATTCGAGGGAAGGTGCCTGGTGCATGTTATTTGCTGATGATATGGTACTGATTGATGAGTGTTGCTCCCAAATGAACACGCAAGTATATGTGATCGTACAAGTAATAAAATGATAAGTCAAGTATCGAACCCACAGAGACTTGTGTTAACTACCCACTAGTTTCACCAAGATTACTATTTAATCGAGTCAAACAGAGTTCAAAAGTGTGATTATTCTAAGCAATAGATATAACAAGTAACTAATTAATCAAGCAGAAAATAATTGTTGTGTATTCAGTGGAGATGAATATCCCAGGGTTGTGATCGATTCACCAATCGTATTGCGTTCTACTTAACTCTCCCTTTCATACAATTCGCTCGTGGTTGCTAATGAATAATTGCTCTCGTAGTATTCTCCTGAATTATACCTGCCTACTCAAAATAGATTAACGCGTATATTCCTGTGGAAACAATCTATTAAGAACGCATTAAGATTACTATATTCAATTGATCAAGGTGACTACGTATATTCCTATCCTAACCAGAAATCCGCCCCCCACTTAGAGTTAAGATCATGCCCTCCTCAATTCTTCTCTAATCTAGATGTAGCTTTCCCAAGCATAGCATAGATAGTAAATAGAACCTAACTGTTGGCCAGACAATTGAGCAATTAATCACAGGATTGAAGAAACAATCATATATTAGCAAATTGTAATCAAAGTTAAGTCAACTTCAAACAATAATATTCATGGCTAAATTACAATCCAGAACTTATGGGTTTTAGCCACTTATGATAAAATCAGAATAATTTCACAAGTGTTTAATAGTTGAAAATACTAAGAAAGATGAAGAAAAACTGAGAATCCTTGCTCCCGAGTGTTCCGTCAGTATATTTTTCTCTCAAAGTTGCGTCTCCCCTTCCAAAATAGGTTTAGACTTGATTTTATACGAGTTGGGGGCATCTTGGGTCGAAATAACTTTGTCTCGGTTAAGGTAGGACACTTTCCCATTACCCAGTGCACAGGGTAGCGTGGGACGCTAGCCCTGGCGCTAGAAAAATTTTGCATCTTTAAATTGTGCCACGGGTAGTGCCCCACGCTAACCAGGGGCTACACTGGCCCATTTTTTCGTTTCTTCCCTTTTTGCTTCAAATCATGCACTTTCGTCCCACACTGCTTCCGGATGACTCCTACACATAAAAATACCACGAATTGGCACAAACTATTACATTACACATTCGGAATCTACGAAACATGAGTAAATGCGAGGTAATTGGCATATAAATATTCATACTTTAAGCCGAATATCAACACCACACACTTAGACTCTTGCTCGCCCTCGAGCAATGGAACTATAAACTACACCCCAACAAGGTACATCTCAACTAGGAGGAGCAATTCAATTTCTTAATCATACACTCTACCTTTCACTATGGTCAATACCGGCAATCAAGCATGAACATACGAAATTCACATTCTTCCCGTTTTATATATGCCCAGGTATAAACAATTTAATTCAACCAATTCAAACAACCTATCCATAACCACCCAACCTCAAAAGGCGACTCGTTACCTCTAAGCACTCTCAACTCGCGCACTCACCCAACAAGAGAAGTTCACAACATCAGTAATCCGTCATGAGATCATGTGCTCTCACTAGCAAACAAGAGAGTGAATATATAATAGTCCACACATTCAAATATGACTTTGAATATAAATTAAGGACATCATACAGTTGAACGAAAGTCGCTCACTCTCACAAAGAAATTCATGTGCATTCCGTGGTCGTACCATAAGCTTGCTTGTAGTGTACATCTCTACTAATCTAAGCTAGCCAAGTCTAGGATCAATAAGGACTTTATGGGTTGTAATGTAGGCTAAGGGATGGGTAGGATACATTTAGGAATAGTGACTAACCCTCCTAAGCACTTTAATACACTACACTCAAGAATCTAGCACGTTTTCTTCCGAAACAATTCACTCGCCACGGACCATACACAACATAGCCCTTTCTTCAATTAAGCACTTCTACATCCCTACTAGCACGAATTAGTAAGATTAGGAGGTGTGTATTTTTCTTCTTTTTGACTATCAACATTATTTGTATATTTTTTTCTTGCAATTTTCTTTTCTCTTTTTTTTTTCTACACACTTCATACATTAAGGTTCATCGACTAGTGATATTTTTCAAAACTTTAGTGCACTTTATGGGACATTCCATGGTTCCACTCGAAAGTTACTTCCCAAATCTCTCACTTTACTTTTTTTAGCGCCAAGTGTCTTTAGAGGTAAAGGTTCAATAGCTCAGTTAAGAACAAAACAGGGATATGGTTTGTAATGTGGGTGCCAAGGAAAAGGTCTATAAGCTCAAAGGGGCTAGCAACGAAAAAAAATTATTTGTCAGTGACAAGCACATCTATGATCAAGCAAGAAATGCCTATATCATCTTCTAGACTAGCACAACTTAGTGATTTGGCTTCTATTAACATGCGGGGCAAGTTCTAGACTACACAGGATAGCACAGAAAAAGTCCTCACACACACATTGCACATGACTCAATCAAGACGGTTCTGTTCAACTCTCAAGTCAAGCAAGCACATATAGTTGAGAAATTTAAAGCAATAATGCAGTAGGTGACATACAAGTCAAGCAACTGAGAACAGGTGTCACAGAGTAGGCTATTTATGTTACTAATTAGGCATCACATTTTAAATCAAATATAACAGGAAGACAAAGCACATGCCAAAACCTAATGTGTCAGCACCAAACATGTCAACACGTACCTTAGAGAAACTTAGTTTTCTTCCTATCCTACTCCTAATAAGATAAAAACAAAATACCCGGTTCAGGCTAAACCCTTATAAAAGAACCGGCACCCAAAGAAAACCAAGGGATACTACCTAACTATCCTAAAAAATAAAAGAAATCTTTTTGGTATTTTTAATCGAACCTTAATCCCTCAAGAAAGCTGTCCAAGAGATCCATCGTCGGAAAAAGTCCGAGCTTTTTCTGATTTTTCTCTTCTTCTTTTTTAAGCTAGACTACTACTAACTTCAAGTTCTAAAAAAACTAATGAAAAAGAAATTATTTTATACAACTACATTTAGAAAGCAGTTCATCACCCTACACTTATAACATGCATTGTCCTGGATGCATAATCGCAGAGAAAAATATCAAAATAAGAATGAGAAATACTCACCGGGACCCTTTAGGGCCTAGATAGCACATGATCCTAAATATTAAGAGTTGGATTGGCCCCCAATAAGCTCAAACATGCTCATCAACTTCAACTCCGGGTACTCAGACTTCCCCTAATCTGCAAAACAAAAATAAAACAAAATGTGACCTTATAAAAAACAAAAACAAAATTGCAGGTCGGGTTGCCTCCAAACAAGCGCCTTATTTATAGTCCTGGCACGACTCTGCTACTCTGCTCAGGCTGGGCGCTTTCACTTCTTCTTTCACCCATGAAGTCTATCCTTTTTGCATGCTCTAGGAAGGTCTCCTCTTTCATCTCTGACTCTTTTCTCAGTCATCTTTACACACTCAGCTTGCAACATCACGTCCTCTAACGTAATGGCTCTGCTTTATCCCCTTCGATTCCATCACAGAATCATGCACAAGTCTTCATAACGCTTAGGGAGCTTAAGTGCCTTATACACATTAAAAGTGATTTCCTCATCATCAACTCTCATCTTCAACTTCTCTTCCCTCACATCAATAATCGCTCCACCAGTATCTAAGAACGGTCGCCCCAAAATAATGGGCACTTCCTCATCTGCCCTGTAATCAAGAACAATAAAATCAATAGGAAGAATAAACTTCGCCACTCGAGCTAACACATCCTCAATAATTACTTCTGGCATCACTAGCGACTTATCTTCCAACTGTAAAGTGATTGTAGTCGGTCTAAGGACCCCCAATCCGAGTTGCTTGAACAAAGATGATGGCATCAAATTTATACTAGCCCCTAAATCACACATGACTCTACCAACTTCTTGTTTCCCAAGAGACAGAGGAATTGTGAAACTCCCAGGATCCTTCAACTTAGGAGGAAGTTTACTCTAAACTCTAGCACTGCACGTTTTAGTAAGTGCAACTGTTTCAAACTCTTATGTATTTGCTTGTTTGCCACAATATCTCTTAGATACTTTGCATACTTAGGTACTTCCTGCAAAATCCACCAAAGACAAATTCACACGCACTTGGCTCAAAATATCTAAGATTTTCTTGTAATTAGCATCATCCTTTTGCTTCTACAGTCTTTGTGGAATGACCTTGTCAAAATAGCTCTGATCTTTCGCTCTCTTTCTCATTCTCCTCAACTGGCTTGGGAACTAATTCTCCTTCAGGACTAGCCATATACTTCTTTTTCTTTAGAACTTCTCCTAATACTCTTCCATTTCTCAAGGTAACCGCATTGACTTGAGCTTTAGGATTAGGCTCAGTATCACTAGGAAGAGCCCTAGCTAGCCGATTTCGAGCACTAGCAAGTTGCCCCATTGTCACTCCAAAATTCGAATATCAGTAGCCTGATTCTGATTATCAGCCATAATTTTCTTGAACACTCCTCAATATTACCCATCGGATTTATGGACTAATCAGCTTGTAGTGGTCTATATTGCTGTTGAGGAGCTTGTGGCCTGTACTGATTTTGAGAACCTTGATTTCCACCCCAAAAAAAGTTTGGGTGGTTCATCCGCTTAGGATTGTAAGTGTCCACATACTAATTTGCCTGGCCTCGATTTGCATTACACACAAAATATACAGACTCCGAATTTACTGGGCATAGATTGCTCGTGTGACCCTCCCCACACACTTCACAAAATATCTAAACATGTTGCACTAGCTGAGCTTGTTGCTTATTAATAACCAAGGTCATCTTATTGACTTGGTTGGCCAATGTGGCAACCTGCGCTGATAATGTAGAAATAACTTCTAACTCAAGGACCCCCGCAAATTTTTGAACGGTGTGTCTACCCATCTCTCTTTTCCAATCAGGATTACTTTTGGAAAATTTGTTCAATAATGCATAAATTTCATCGAAGCTTTTCTCCAACACTTGACCTCTCGCTGCAGAGTCCACCACAATCTTTGTCTCTGGATGTAGCCCTTCTATAAAGATATGAGCTAACACTTCATTTGTCTGGTTGTGATAAGGACAATCTCCGAGCAGCCCTTTGAACCTCTCCCAAACTGAATATAAAGATTCCCTCAATTTCTGTTTAAATGCTACTATCTCACTTATGATCTTTGCAGCTTTGCCTAAAGGGAAGAACCATGCCAAAAATTTCCTAGCCAAATCATTCCATGATGTAACAGAATTAGACGGTTCCACCTTCAACTACCCCTTTGCTCCGCCCAACAGAGAGAACGGGAACTGTGTAAGCCTCACATAGTCTGGAGTGACTCTGTTAGTGATATAAGTACCACTAATCTCCAAAAGGTTCAGAATGTGTTGTTGTGGATCCTTGTCTGGAAAACCTATAAACTGCCTATGTAGTAATTGGATCATGCTCTATTTTAGCTCAAAATGGCCAGTGATTCTGGGCTTCACAATGTTGGATGTGAAATTAGCAATGCTGGGCATCGCTACCTACTGAACAACCATATTTTGCTCCTACCATGTTCGCAGGTAATTGAACAAGTGTCTAAAGATTATCTGCGTCCCTTGCTTCTCTCAACCTCCTGTGAAATATTCTCTCAGGTTCGGGGTCAAAGCCTTGAAGTCTATCCTGGCTTCTGACCCTTCGCATTCAATCAAAGTTGCTGAGAGCAGAGCAACCAATAAGAAACGTTAGACTTGACGAAATAAACAACTAAAGTACAACAACAACAACAACAACGGTCTAATGCAATCCCACAAGTGGGGTCTGGGGAGTAATGTGTACGCATCCCCTACCCCGAGGGGCAGAGAGGCTGTTTCCAGGAAATAAACAACTAAAGTAAAATCTAGTAAAGTAGTCAATATTCGAGTCCCCGGCTAGAACCCAAAAACTTATTTCTCCCAAGTATACACGCAAGTATACGTGGTCGTACAAGTAATAAAATAATAACCCGAGTGTCGAACCCACAAAGACATATGTTAACTACCCACTAGTTTCACCAAGATTGTTATTCAATCGATTCAATTAGAGTTCAAAAGTGTGATTATTCTAAGCAATAGATGTAACAAGTAACTAATTAATCAAGGAGAAAATAATTGTTGTGTATTCAGTGGAGATGAATATTTCAGGGTTGTGATCGATTCACCAATCCTATTGCGTTCTAATTAACTCTTAATTTCATACAATTCGCTCATGGTTGCTAATTAATCGAATAATTGCTCTCGTAGTATTCTCCCGAATTACTATTCGCCTACGCAAAATAAATTAACACTTATATTCCTATGGAATCAATCTATTAAGAATATACGATATTCAATTGAGCATAAGGACTAGGTATATTCCTATCCTAACCACAAATCTACCCCCTACTCAGAGTTAAGATCATGCCCTCCTTAATTCTTCTCTAATCTAGACGTAGCTTTCCCATGCATAGCATAGATAGTAAATAGAACCTAACTGTTGGCCAGGCAATTAAGCAATTAATCACAGAATTGAAGAAACAATCATATATTAGCAAATTATAATAAAGGTTAAGTCAACTTCAAACAAGAATATTCATTGCTAATTCACAACCCAGAAATTATGGGTTTTATCCACTTATGATAAAATCAAAATAATTTCACAAGTGTTGAATAGTTGAAAATACTAAGAAAGATGAAGAAAAACTGAGAGTCCTTGCTCCCGAGTGTTTCGTAGGTGTATTTTTCTCTCAAAATTGCGTCTCCCCCTCCAAAATAGGTTTAGACCTTTTATACGAGTTGGGGGAGTCTTGGGTCGAAATAACCTTGTCCCGGTCGAGGTAGGACATTTTTCTGTCACCCAGTGCCTAGGGTAGCGTGGGGCGCTAGCCCTAGTGTTAGAAAATTTTTGCAGCTGTAAATTGTGCCACGGATAGCGCCCCACGCTAACCAGGCCGCTACACTGGCCTATTTTTTTGTTTTGTTTCCTTTTTGCTTCAAATCGTACACTTTCGTCCCACATTGATTCCGGAAGACTCCTACACATAAACATATCACGAATTAGCATAAATTATTACATTACACATCCAAAATTTGGGAAACATGAGTAAAATGCGAGGCAATATGCATATAAATATACATACTTTAAGCCGAATATCAATGAGACGCGAGTCGGAGTTAATATGAGGCTGGAAGTTTGGAGATGGGCCTTATAATCAAAATATTTGAAGTTATAGTTAAACCAAAATATAATACTTGGAGTGCAAGTTCAATGAGGCGACTCATGATGCGGAAGTGGATGTGAGGCTTGATATACAAGTCATCCCAAAAAGAGGCCTTTTCAAGTACCTTGGGTCCATAATCTAAGGTAATGGAGAAATTGACGAGGGTGTCACACATTATATTGGGGGGGGGGG